ATACAAGTGGTCCTTTTTACCCGGGCAGGCGCTGGCCGTGGGGAGGCAGGAGTCGGGGCCACGCGGCGTTGGGTCCGTCTAGGCTGCAGGACAGACGAAGCTTGGGCCCCACTGGGGCTGCCCCACGCCTTCTCGGGACCCTCGCAAGACCCCCAGAGAGCTGAGGTGGGAGCGGCGACACTGGCGGCTTCTTGCTGCTGCCGGCTGGCCACAACAGGCGGGGCTGGTGGGCCTCAACCCAGGAGGGTCTGCTCCCAGGCACTGGGCCTCGGCTCTGAAACGCAGGCCACAGCCAGAGTCCGATGCCCTCTGCTCTGCCCAGTTCCTCGCAGGGCCCTCAAACTGGTCTTGGCCGCAGCGGAGCTGGGGGACACCGACTGCCCCTTCCGCTTGGGTGCCAGACTCATGCCAGGCTGCGCCACCGGGGATGGCCCCCACACACACCCAGTCACAGGAGGGAGTGTCAGAGGTTCAAACCAGCAGATGGGGCTTCCTTGCTGGCCCGGACTTGCCAGGTTTGGAGGTATCACTCGGACGTGCCCCTCGTCCTGGCTTCGAATTGGCGGCGACCCTCGACCTCTGGCAGGCAGCTGTTGGGGTAAACGAGCCAGGCAAAGCGCTGGCACACAAGCAGCCTACTGCTGGAAGGGCCGCTCCTGCCTGGTTCCTGTCGCCACACCCTGTGCCGCACGTGGCACAGGCTGCGGAGGCACAGGCCTGCCCTCGGCCGGCTGGCTGCGGGCCTCCGAGGTGCGTTTTCGGTGGTGAAAGTGAGTGATCCAAACGGGCAGAATGTGCACGGTCTCCCTTACCACCGCCAGGACCTCCCACTGCACGTGCAGAGTGACCGATGTTAGCAAGCTCGGGGGAGAGGAGCGGAGGACAGGGCACATTCCTCTGAGAGAAGGCTCCGTCCAGGGGCGCGCGAAGAGCCGAGGCCGAGCCTGGCTCTCCTGGCTCGCCTGCGGAGAGGATGCCAGCAGGCCACGCCCTGCGGGATCCAGCAGCGTCTTGGCGAGACTCGCCGAGCGGCCAGCCACACGCTCGGCGGTGCGGAGGGCCTCGTGGGCGACCTGCGTGCTTCTTCCTCACTCGTTTCTCAAGTTCTCCAGCGGTGTCGGAGCTCCGTCCCCGCAGAGCTCCGTGCAGACGCGGTGTCCGGCACCCGGCGGAGGCCTCGCCAGCAAGGGCTCGAGGGCTTGTGCCCCTCCCCCGCTCCTGCGCACCTTGTGGCCTTGTGAGCATGCGCGGTCCCCGAAGGCTCGGGCCCTCAGGTGTCACGGGCACCGCGTGCGTACCAGACGCTCAGGGCAAGTGCACACGAGACTCTTGGGGTCTTCCAGGACTGTTCCTCTTCCTCGAGGCCGTGTTGCCACGCCACGCACTCGCGGGCCTGCTCGTCTCTGGTGAGACCCCACGCGCCCCTCCTGGCCACGGAACACGGGCCACAGAAACACCCTGAAGGGGCAGGGAAGCCACGCGCCGTTTTCGCCTGCCAGTCTTACTAACAGCCTCCTGATGCTCTCCCCATTCGTAACAGGTGGTGCTACCTCCTTTTCTAAGCTGTGGTCGCCTTGGGGACTTCAGGGTCCTGACAGGTTCACGGTGGTTTTAATATGAAATCCACACCCCACAGACCGGTTGAGCCCTTCTGGTCTGCTCTCCTGCTGGGCGCGCGACAGTCCAGGCGAGTGCGGGAGACCCTCAGTTAGAATCATCCTGGGTGCGTCTGACCGCAAAGTCCCCAGGACATACTGCACCGGAGATGACTGCCTGGTAGGAGGGGGGTCGCCAGGCCTGTGCAGGAAGCCCCTCAGGCCACGGCCAAGATCCCACAATGACAAGACATCAGAGGCAGCGCTGGGATTGACATCCCTCTAGGCAGTGGCCAGCACAGTGCCATACGGTCACTGTGAGGGCTGCAGGCAGTGGGCAGAGCCATTGGCGAGGATTCGTATTCCACTGTCAAAACCTGGAAACGGGCGGGATTTTGTTTAATTAAAGAAGACGAGTAAAAAGAATTTGCTGCAGCCTAGGCAGGGTTTGAAAAGGCAGGCAGAGGAGGGAAGCGCAGCTGTGGCTCTGCCTTGTGGGCACTGGGTTCAGGTTCCTCCGGGGCAGAGGAGAGGGGCCCTCGTGGCCAGGCCCCAAGTGCTCAGCGTGAGCTCGAGGTGCTCTCTGCCCTGGCCCAGGGCAGGCGAGAGCCGAGGGTGAGCCCCCGTCCGTGTCCTCCAGGTTGTGTCCAAGTACATTGAAAGTCCCGTCTTGTTCCTCCGAGATGACGTGGGCAAGGTCAAGTTCGACATCCGCTACATTGTGCTGCTGCGGTCGGTGAAGCCCCTGACCTTGTTCGTGTACGACGTGTTCTGGCTGCGCTTCTCCAACCGGTAACGGGGCCGGCGGGGGCCTGGGGTCGGGGAGGAGGGGAGGGGCAGGGCCCTGGGCCCTTTAGACAGGTGAGCCACCTGGGTCGTCCAGACGCCTGTGTTGGGCTCCTCCTCCATCCCCCACCCAGCGGTCTCGCGCCGGCCACAGTGATGGAGGAGAACGTCCTTTCTGAAGTAGGCGCCCGTGCCTGAGAATCACGGACGGTTGATGGGCCCGTGGAGATCTTTCCCAGTTAGCACGTCACTCCCTCCACCCCAGCTCTAAGGGGGCCCTGGGGGGGCCACTCTCACAGACGAGGGCGCTGGCGCCCAGCCTGGGCAGCGGCGGCTCTGCCCCAGCCCCGAGCCCCCCCGGGCGGGAAGGCTCCGTCAGTGCCCTCCCTCCCTCCACGGGTGCACGAGGCCGGCTCAGGAACCCACGCGTGTCTGTGTCTCCTCGTCCTGCAGGCCCTTCGAGCTCAATGACCTGGACGACTACGAGAAGCATTTCACGGTCATGAACTACGACCCGGACGTGGTGCTTAAGCAGGTGGGGCATGGCGGCGTCTGGGGAGCGGGTTCCCAGGGAGGTCCGTGCAGACGCGGACCTCGCCAGCCTTCTGGGCACACGGGCCCGTCCAAGGAGCTGCCTTCCAAGTTCAGGCTGTCTAAGGCAATCTTTAGAACAGCCGTGATGTGCCAGGCTCGGCTCAGGTGCCCGTGTCGTGTCAGGTGGGCCGTCCTGGAGCGCGGAAGTGCCCTTGCTCTGTTTGTGACAGCAGCCGTGCGGAGGCTTCCCGGGTCTGCAGCAGGTTGGAGCAGAGCAGGTTCTCAGCCGGCGCTTCCCCTCGGCTGCCTCAACCCGGAGGAACGGCCTGCTGCCTGCCCCCTGCGAGCACCAGGACAGGCAGGGGCGGCGGGGCAGGGAGATGAGGAGTGGCCCCACCCAGAGACAGCCAACTCTCCCCAGCCCAGTTGGCCCCGCCACCTATTGGCCTGTGACCCTCCCTGGGTCCCCAGTCTCCTGTCTTCCCTGAGCAGCGCCCCACGCGGTGGGCACTCAGGGAGTGGCGGCTGCACCGTGTGGGCGCCTGGCACTCGGGCCTCAGGGCAAAGCTCCTTCCAAGGCGAGGGCGGGAAGCCAGAGCCGGCCTGCCAGCACACCTGAGACGGGGGGCTCAGCCCGCACGGAAGTGAGGGGCCCAGCCCTGGGTACAGAAAGAGGGAGAGGAGAGGTAGGTCCTGGGTTCAGTGTCCCAGAGTCCTCTGACCTGCTGGCTGGTTAACAAGTGTTTCCGGCAAACAGAGCAAGGAGCGCCCACCTACCCCGTCCCGCCTGACGCCAGGCTCGCGGGTGCCGGGAAGCCCCGCACACCTGCCCGCTCCTCCGCCCTCTCCAGAGCGTGCGATTGGCGTGCCCATCGAGTCTTGATTCTTTTCAGCACGAGTGTGTCTCAGAACAATTCGAACTGTTATTTGGCTGTTTAGGTTTCTATATGAACATCATCTTACTGGACTTCCATAGCTTTTTCTCTGAGTGTCACGTTTAGCTTCATCACTGTTGCTAACTAGAGCTGCAGGCCATTCTTGCGTTACTCCTAGTTTTTCGCTGTTCGTGCGCCTGCTGCCTCCAGCAGCCTTGTGGGGGCGCCTCGCGGTGCCCAAGCCCAGGGGTCCCGCCCAGAGGGCTTGCAGGAAGGGCCCTGCGGCGTCAGAGCAGCTGTGCCGACCCACGCTCGCCGGCTCGGGCTGAGTAGTCCTGTTGCTCTCGTCCCCTCTCGTCCTTGGTTGTGTCGAAGGTCAGTCCCAGGACCCAGAGCCGCCATCGGGGCCCAGAACGTTGCGGGAAGTCATCTCCCAGGGCACCGAGCAACCCCCCTCCGTATCGTGCCTGAGTCATCCCGAGAGCTAATCCCCGAAGCCTTGGGCCTGGGGCCGTGCCAGGGCTTGAGTGTTCGGTTGCCATAGGGACCTGTCCTGGCTTGTCTTTCCCCTAGAGAGACCTGCACAGAATGTCACCTCACTGAGGTGTGTTGTGCATGAAGTCTTGGGCCTGAGAATGTCTTGCCGTCCCGCAGGCACTTGTGAGCCAGTGCTGAGCGGTGGCACAGGCTGGCCCTGCAGATGGTGTCCGAGCTCTTCTGCCAGAGCTCTTCTGCCTGCTCTGAGTTGGGCACGAGGACAGGCACCGGCCCCAGCCTGCAACCCCTTGAGCCCTGAGCCCCACAGCAACCATGCAGAGTCGGTTTGCTGGGCACAGGGCATTCTCCCATTTCACAGAGGAGGAAACTGAGGCTCAGAGAAGTTCATCTGCTTGTCCAGAGTTACACAGTAAGAGCCAGAGCTCAAACCCAGTCTCCTGCCTCCCATTTGTGCCCTGACGGGCTGGGGCCACATACCCTCCTGCCTGTGCTGACCTCCTGTCACCCCCGGCAAGTCAGAGGTTGCTGGCCAAGGCAGCAGCCCTCCCACCCTGCCCGAGGCGTCCCAAGCAGAGCGTGACGGGCCCTATGTCTGCTGCAGGTGCATCATGATGCGTTTATCCCGGAGTTTGAGAAGCAATACCCAGAATTTCCCTGGAGCGGCGTCCAGGTGAGTCCTGAGTTCCACCAGGTGTCAGGGCCTTGGGTCCGGGCTGGGCGCTGCAGGAGCTGCCCCCTCTCGTGGGCTGGGTGGGGTCTTCGCAGCCTCTGGATGGTCCTTTGCCTTGGAGAGGACAGCGAGGGCTCCCTCCTTCTGCTCTAGGCCTTTGTGGGGGCTCTTCAGAGGGAGGGGGTGACCTGGGACACGCCTGGGACAGCCAGAGGGCAACAGGCCCTGCCCACCCCTGGAATCCGGGCCATGTGGGACATGGGCTGGGCCTCCCCGTCCAGCGCGCGTTGCAGGCGCCGGCTGAGCTCCGTGGTACAGGGGGAGGGGCACGGGCTCCGAGGCTGGCGACGGGCAGATTTGCGGAAGGTGGATGCGGGAATGAGGGAGCCAGGTGGCAGTCGGAGGTGGCCGTGGCCAGGTCTAGTGACATGAAGGTGTAGGAGGGGGTGACTCGGGGTATGTTGAGGCCAGGACTCCGGCAGGGACAGCAAACCCTTTATCGAGAGGCTGCTGTGGGCAGCCAGTCCCAGCATCAGGGTCAAGCAGGGCTCGTGACTCAGCCTCCCCCCGGTCCCCAGGCGGACATCTTCCAGGCCTTCACGGAACTGTTCCAGGTGGCCTGTGCCAAGCCACCACCCCTGGGCCTGTGTGACTACCCCTCGTCCCGGGCCATGTATGCCGTTGACCTCATGCTGAAGTGGGACGACCATCCAAATGGTGAGAGGGGCTCCCCCGTCCCCATCCAAACCACCAGGCCTCCCAGCTGGCCACACCCCAGGAGGACAGGGGCGGGAGGCACCAACCCAGGCTGGCCTTTGGCTCGTATGGGCGGGAGATGCAGGAGGGGGAGGCTGGCTTGGCCCACCGGGAAGGGAAACACCTGCAGGGGGGGAGAGCTCCCAGGACAGGAGTCCCGTGTGAAAGGCACCTCGTCCCGCACAGCCTCGGCCAGGCCCCCTCGGTGCCAGGCCCTGCATCTCCATTTTTTGACTAAACCAAACATCTATGCTTAAAGTGACACTCCATTGTCCCTAAGGCTGGAGGCAGCTCTGATCTCTCCTGGAGGAGCAGGCGTCAGGCCAGGCCTCCCCGCAAAGCAGGAGTTCGGGGCCCTGCGCCCGCCCACTGTGGAACTGGGGCCCGGGCCCACCCCCACGCCAGCCTTCACGGAGTCCCCAGCCCCAGCCGCCCTCCGGGGCGCGGGGCACAGATGGGCCCCCACGCCAGCTCTGACTGTGCCCTCAGGGCGGCGAGTGATGCAGCCGCAGATCCTGGAGGTGAACTTCAACCCGGACTGCGAGCGAGCCTGCCGGTATCACCCCACCTTCTTCAACGACGTCTTCAGCACCTTGTTTCTGGACCAGCCTGGCGACTGCCACGTCACCCGCCTCGTCTAGGCACTTGCTGTCCCTTTAACCCGTGCTGGGGGTGGCATGCCCACCTCGGGTCTCTGAGCTGCTTCTGAAAGGCCCCGCCCGCCCTTCCCCCTCCTCCCTCCCTCCCTCAGGCCCAGCCTTGGTCCTGGCCTCACCCCAGGAGCTCAGGGTCCTTCTCCCACCAGAGGGCTGGAGCAGGACGGCAGTGGAGTCCCCGGGGCTCCCCTCACCACCACCTGGTAGTGTCCGCCGCTGCCAGGGCCTCCTCCCCGGGCGCTGAGCGATGCCCAGGGTGCTGTTTCCAGGGGGCATGGAGGCAGGGCTCCGGGCAGGAGCTCTCGAGTCAGGGCAGCGCTGGGGACCCTGTGTCACACGGGCCGGGCGGGTCTCTGTCCCAGAGTCTCTGCCCTCACGCACCATGGCTCCCCTGTGCAGGTGTCGGCCTCAGGCGCTGCCTGCAGGGCTCTGTGACAGGTGGCCCGGAACAGCCTGGGGGAGCTGCACCTGCCTTACCACCTCCCCCAGCTGCCCAGAACCTTCACCGGCAGACCTCGCCTGCGTTCCAGGCAGGAGGGCAACTGTCTTCTGTTACTGTTCCTTTTCCAGACATCACGGGTCCCAGACCCCAACAGGGAAGTCGGCCTGTAGAGTCCCCTTGTCCCAGTGGCCTCTGTGCTCAGTGGGTGCCCCGCTGGGTCCAACTTAGTCTGATTGCAGCTGGGACCCTCTGGCAAGGGCTCTCAGGGCAGGTGTGGGGGCCAGAGCACAAGGCGGGCGGCGAGTGGAAGATGATTCCAAGGAGAACTTTACGTTAAAGTCAGGTGCCATCTTCTACCAGCGCCTGCAGTCGTGATGTTGGCTTTTTGTTGTTTTTTAACTTATGGGAGGAAAATACAAAATTCTAGTTCTTTCCTAATTTTGTTTCCAAAATCTAGAGTCAGCTGCTGGTGTTTTTTGTAGCTGCAGCACCTGGGCCGGGCTCACGGCAGCGGGCGGGGCTGGCGCCCTGGGCAGGTGGGAGCTGCTTCCGGGGCCTTCAGGTGTGCAGGAAGGCGGGGCTGGGCATGGTGGCGTTTCATTTCTGAAGCTAAAAGTGATCCCTGTAGCAAAACTGCGCACAGGTATTCCGCCTGCCCCCTTGGTGTTAGGGGCGCCTCGCCCTCCCCCGCAGGACCGCAGCTGGAGGGCAGCGCCCGCCTGTTTCCCTGGGAGCACTGCTGCGCTGCGGTCCCTTCCGCTGGATTGTGTGCTGCAATAAAGGACGCCTTCTCCCACGCCTGCCCTCCTGTCTCTCTGGGGCCCGGGAGCCATGGGCTGGGCCTGGTGTGGCAGCTGTTTCCCCTGCCGTTGCCGAAAACCCCCAAAATACCAGATGTCACTTTAGGAAGCCACAGAAGAAAAGATGGCATTTAGACCTCAGAGTCCCACCCCAAATTGTGATTTCCCAGCGGCGGGAAATTCCAAGCTATAGGGGGCTGAACCCTGTGCCAGGTCCACCAACACTGCCCAGGAGCCCCGGCGGCCCTGGCGTTCTCCCTGCGTTGAGCTGGGGTGGAGACGAGAATAAGAGACCCCAACTCCTCTTGGGCGAGGAGGGCTAGGGCAGGGACGCTGTGGGCAGGCGGCAGCGGCGCCACCTGGTGGGCTGAGAGGACAAAACGCAAAAGGGAGAGCCCCCCAAAAGACGCCGCCTCTCGAGACCCACCACACAGGGGGCCCCCCCGGAAGAACCCCAACCAAGGCCGCCTGGCCAAAACCCGGCCGGGGGGCCGCCCCGGCCCGCCCCCCAGGCAACCAAAAACCAAAACCCAACAAGGGGCAAGGAAAACCCCCGGAAGCAAGAACAACGGGGCCAAGCCAAGCCCGAAGCCAAAACTGCTTTTCTCCGTCCCCAGAGGTCTGGTGCACGCGGACAACCCCCCAGGGAGGGCCATGAGCCCGAGGCCCCGGGCTGAGACAGTTGCCGTGGAGATGGTGCTTATCCCACTAAATACTAACTCCTGGAACTCACTTGCACACTTGTCACTTTCTGTGTTAAAAATGCATCAGAATGGCCAGCGCACCGCACTGGCATCACGCGCGTGAGATCCGAGACACGCGGCACTGCACTGGGAGCCGGAGGCGCAGGAGGGATGCGCGCGAGACTGGCTTCAGTGTCCACATCGACCGATGACCTGACGCACAGCTTGAGGGCACGAGAGAGGCAAGACCCGGCTCCTCGATATCAACAAATCCTACCAGCCAAACAACTAAAACAGTATTCGCATACATCAGATTAAGCCTGGCCACATCGGCACCATGCCTGTAGTCCCCAGCTACTCCCAGCGAGGTCCCTGAGAGGCATGTCACATGTGATGCGCGCATGGCGCTGACCCAGGAGTTTGAGTTGCCTGATGAGTCCTACTAGGCGTAACACCATGCGCACTCCTATCCCAGCATACAGTAGTGCACCAACATTCTCGCATCAACAAAAAACACAAAGAAACGTGCATCACAGAAGGCAACAAATAGAGACACGAAACACAAAGTGACAGAAAGATGAACAACACAAAGTCCCACAGAGGCGAGGCAGGAGAAATCAAAGGCGGAGCTCGAGCTGTTGACAGTGAGACTTACAACATGTCACGTGGCCCTATGGACGCTACATACACCCGCAGGTCCGTGGTTCTTTGTCAGAGCACAACGTACTGTGGCATCTTGCCTGCAGGGGAGTCGGTTTCTCTCCCTGCCCAGCCGGGTGCCGGCCACAGAACTGACCTTTTGACAGACTCCTAAGGTCACGCGTGCTCTGTCTGCCACCGCGGACCGGGGGCCCTCTGTGGCCAGTCTGCTAGCAGGGGACCCAAGTGCACAGTTTGGGACCTCACTGTGCGGTGGCTCGAGGCAGGAGAGCAGACCAGAAGGGCTCAACCGGTCTGTGGGGTGTGGATTTCATATTAAAACCACCGTGAACCTGTCAGGACCCTGAAGTCCCCAAGGCGACCACAGCTTAGAAAAGGAGGTAGCACCACCTGTTAGGAATGGGGAGAGCATCAGGAGGCTGTTAGTAGAAAGCTGGCAGGCGAAACGGCGCGATGGCTTCTCCTGCCCCTTTCCAGGGTGTTTCTGTGGCACGCGTGTTCCGTGGCCAGGAGGGGCGCGTGGGGTCTCACCAGAGACGAGCAGGCCCGCGAGTGCGCGGCGTGGCAACACCTCGAGGAAGAGGAACAGTCCTGGAAAGACCCCAAGAGTCTCGTGTGCACTTGCCCTGAGCGTCTGGTACGCACGCGGGTGCCCCGTGACACCCTGAGGGCCCCGAGCCCTTCGGGGACCGCGCATGCTCACAAGGCCACAAGGTGCGCAGGAGCGGGGGAAGGGCACAAGCCCTCGAGCCCTTGCTGGCGAGGCCTCCGCCCCGGGTGCCGGACACGCGTCTGCACGGAGCTCTGCGGGGACGGAGCTCCGACACCCTGGAGAACTTGAGAAACAAGTGAGGAAGAAGCACGCATGCACGCAGGGTCCCCACGAGGCCCCTCCGCACCGCCGAGCGGTGTGGCTGGCCGGGTCGGCGGAGTCTCGCCAAGACGCTGCTGGATCCCCGCAGGGCGTGGCCTGCTGGGCATCCTCTCCCGCAGGCGAGCCAGGAGAGGCCGGGCTCGGGGCTCGGCTCTTCGCGGCGGCCCCTGGACGGAGCCCTTCTCTCAGAGGAATGTGGCCCCTGTCCTCGCTCCTCTCCCCGAGCTTGCTAACATCGGTCACTCTGCACGTGCAGTGGGAGGTCCTGGCGGGTGGTAAGGGAGACCGTGCACATTCTGCCGGTTTGGATCAACTCACTTTCACCACCGAAAACCAACCTCGGAAGGCGCCGCAGGCCAGCCCGGCCGAGGGGCAGGGGCCCTGTGCCTCCGCAGCCGTGTGCCACGTGCGGCACAAGGTGTGGCGACAGGAACCAGGCAGGAGCGCCCTTGTCCCAGCAGTAGGCTGCTTGTGTGCCAGGCGCTTTGCCTGGCTCGTTTACCCCCAACAGCTGCCTGCAGAGGTCGAGGGTCACCCAATTCGAAGCCAGGACGAGGGGCACGTCCGGAGTGATACCTCCAAACCTGGGCAAGTCCGGGCCAGCAAGGAGGCCCCATCTGCTGGGTTTGAACCTCTGACACCCCCCTCCTGTGACTGGGTGTGTGTGGGGCCGTCCCCGGTGGGCTGCAGCTGGCATGAGTCTGGGCACCCAGCGGAAGGGTCAGTCGGTGTCCCCAGCTCCGCTGCGGGCAAGACCAGTTGAGGGCCCTGCGCGGGGTCTGGGCAGAGCCGGGCATCGGACTCTGGCTGTGGCCCGGCTGTTCAGAGCCGAGGCCCAGTGCCTGGGAGCAGACAGGACCCCTCCCTGGGTTGAGGCCCACAGCCCCGCCTGTGTGTGCCAGCCGGGCAGCGACACGAGCCGGCCAGTGTCCTGCCGCTCCCACCTCAGCTCTCTGGGGGTCTTGCGAGGGTCCCGAGAAGGCGTGGGGCAGCCCCAGTGGGGCCCAGCTTCGTCTGGGTCCTGCAGCCTAGACGGACCCAACAGCCCGCGTGGCCCCGACTCCTGCCTCCCCACGGCCAGCGTCCTGCCCGGGTAAAAAGGCCACTGTACAGAAGTTAAACACTTTATTTGGCTTATAAAATCCCACGTTCTCAGAGTGCTGAGCAGTGCAGAAAGTGCAGGGCCTGTCCGCACTCGGGGGCTCGGCCCGGACCATCTTGGAAGCTGTGCTGCCCCCTGGGCTGAGACCGGGACAGAGCAGCAGGCCTGGTGGCTCTGAACGCGTGACAGCCACCAACGACACCTGCTGGCACCGGCCACGGTCCTGGCGGGCTGGGCACTCACTCCTGGCCCCGCCGGCCCCCACGCCGGCCGCGGTTGTCCCGCCATACGCAGTAGTTGAGCGTGGTCGCGAAGGCCAGCCAGGCCAGGTAGGGGTAGAGCAGGCGGGCGGCTGGTGGGCTCACCTGGTGCCAGGCCACAGCCGTGGCCGCCGCCACCCCACTGGTCAGCAGAAGGTCCACCAGGGCCTGCGGAAACACGGGGGAGGAAGGACAGGGGGCCTGAGGCTCCATGTTCCCCAGCTGCCCACCCGCCGGCTGGACGCAGGAGACAGAGCCTCATGGAAGCCGCATTCCGCCCTGACCACCAGCCCAGCCCCGCCCCGCCTCATCCTCCCGTCCTCATCTGTCAAACAGTCACTCCCGCCTGACCCGAGCCACATGGGTGGTGTGCGGCCATGTGGGAGGTGGACACAACGTGCCCAGGAGTGGGGCGGTGGCCGGGGGCCTCACACGTCCCTTCCCCTCCCTGCGCTCCCAGCGTCACTGCAAGGCCCAAACAGACCCTCGCTGCAAACTGCCAGGTGCCAGCGAGGGGCCACACCCCTGCAGCGTGGACGCCACTCCGCGGACCCAGCAAGACGCTTTTGAGAAGAGGCTCTGACACTTAAGTGGTCGGGGGACCAGTGTCCGGCCTGCTTCCTCCGGGTGTCACCAGCCTGCTAGGAGCTCCCAGAGGCATCTGACCATGAGCCTCCCCTCCCCCACCTTTACATGCAGACCCTGTCTCGGACATGACCACAGGGGCCAGGGACACAGGCCAACGCCACACTTACCCAACCCATCTGTCGGGCGCCGAAGAAGATGGGGGGCCATGCCCAGTTCAGGGCCAGCTGCCCGGCGTACAGGCCGAGGGGAACCACTGCCTCTTCCGAGAAGCCCCCCAGCTCTTTCCAGACCATGTAGGAGCCGTACCTGAAACAGAGGCAGCAGGTCAGGGCACCACTGGGAAGAAGGCCAGGAGCCTCGCTCACCTCTGGGACGACACAGTGATGGCCCAGGCACACCCTGCCACTGACTGCTGTGTGATCTCAGGGAAGTTGCTTGACCTCTCTGGGCCTTCGTTCCTCATAGCATTGCCGTGGGGATTCGAGTTAACATGCTGGCAGCACTTTGTGCGGTCCCTGGCACATGGGACCCTCCATAAATACTTGCCATTGTTATCATCAGCGCTATGGATGGGAAGCACATGGGGCGTGCAGGTAAAGAGGAGGATCTTCACCCAGTTGGGGCCCTACGCAGAGGAGGGCACATATGGGCTGGGCCTTAGAGGATGAGTAGGAGTTTGCCAGCAGGAGGAAATAGGATATGCGAAGGCTTAGAGGCAGATGCAAGAGCCTGAATCAGTCTGACCTCAGGGTGAGGGCTGAGGGGCTGGGGAGGCAGGTGGCAGACTGGCCGTGGGAGCTGCTAACACCAGGGCAGCAATAACCCCACCGAGACCCGCTGACGCCCCAGCACCTGCACAGCACAGGCACTGTTCTAGCACCTTCCGAGCATCCACTCACTGCATCCCCATGAGTGCCACGAGGTGAGCGAGCTATTACTGCTTTACAGTAAGGACACTGAGGCACAGAGATCTCCCGGCGGGCAATCGGTGGAGAAAGCCAGGATGTGAAGCCAGCGGCCTGGGGCCAGCGCCCGGGCTCCCACCCACTACCCAAGGGGTGTGACCTCATTCGGGCCACAGGGAGGCTCCAAAGGTGCCACCAAAGAGCACCTGGGGCCAGGATTGTGCTGTTACAATCTGGATGGTGGAGGGAGGCCGAGGGGGAGGCCCAGAGGCCGGGGCTGGTTGAGGCAGAAACAGTGGTGCCAGGGCCAGGACGGGGGATGAGAAGGCGGGGGCCTGCGGGAGCCTGGCTGGGCAGGGGCTGTGCCAGTGGGGCGGGGGGTGCCCAGGTGACACCCAGGTTTCAGGGTCCTACTGCCATCAGAGCGCCTGGCCCCGGCCAGGCTCCTGCTAGCCGCCCCGGGGTGCCTGCTGCCTGCCACCCTGCACGGGGCCGGCACAGAGCCAGGACGCAGGGACATTCCGGGACAGCCGGAGGCTGACGGGGCTCCTGGGTGTGGTCCCTGACGCAGCCGCCAGGGGCAAGTCACAGGGGACTGTGGGCCAGACTGAGGCCTGAGAGGGCTCCTGCAGGGTCCTCCCTGCGCCCTTGGCAGGTCCCTTGTCCAATGGGGGGCGTGAGAGTTAACCGAGATAAGCCCGGCCCCAGCAGGGGCTCGGTGAGAGCAGCCACTCACTGCCGGTCCTGTCCGGGCAGCCGTTATTTATCTTGGCAGGAGCCCTGTAGCGGCCCACAGCGACCTTTGCTCTCTGAGCAGCGCAGCTGCGCCGTGTCCCCGCTGCCGACATGCCGTGTGGCGCGTGACGCGTCCCGGCCACCCTACCCCCCGGAGGCAGGAGGAAAAGTCTCCTTGTGCAACACCGACGCACGGCTTCCCGCCCACCTTGCCCGGCCGCGTGGAGCCGACGCCCCACACGCCGCCACCATACCCCCACGGCCGCCCACTACCCCCCACGCCGCTCACTACCCCACGCCGCCTCACCTACCCCAACGCCCTCGCTACCCCGACGGCCGCTCGCTACCGCCACGCACGCCCTCACCACTACCACCCCCGAGCCCCCCCCCCAACGACACGAACACATACACAACAATCTTACACACGAGCCGCTCACACATACCCAACAAGACACACATCACAAATACATCGAAGCCTGCTCACTACACGCCACAGCCCCCACCCCGCTCCACCGTACCCGCACGGCCTCTCCCACACCTACCCCACGGCCCTCTCCACCTACCCCCACGGCCTCCCTCCCACTACACCACGGCGCTCCCTACACCCCCCCATGGCCCTCTCCACCTCACCCCCATTCGCGGCCCCTCCACCCTACCACCCACGCCCCCACGCCCCGCCTCCTACACCCACCGGCCTGCCCATCCCCTACGCCCGATGGCCTCCTCCACCTACCCCCCCTCCGCGGCACGCTTCCCCTGACACCACTCGCGCCGACGTAGCCAGCCGTCCCAATGCGGGCACGACGAGCACGCGGGGCGGGTGCCACGAGGGCTTCTGCAGGCCGGCGTACCAGCGCAGGCCCTCGCCGCGGACGAAGTGGGAGCCCAGGAAGCCGCCCAGGCTGGGCGCCAGCGTGAAGCCCACGGCGGGCACACAAGGCGGGGCCATGACTGCGGAGGCTGCTGTTCGGGAAAGCTCTGAAAGAGAAGGCGGGGTGGGGCGAGAACACCCTGAGTCCCTACAGGGTCAGGCGTCACTGAGAGGCCTGCCGCCCACGGCCGGATCGGAGGTACAGGGATGGGTGAGGCAGGAGCGGCTGAGGGAGCCCATCTCCATCCTCCCCTGCCCCACCCTGGCCAGGAGCCCCGAAGCACCCCACTCCCGCCCCCACTCCTGCCCCGCTGCCCCTCACCTTCTCGCTGAGTCTCCTGGCAGCGACCCCTCCCTCCTCACTCAAGGACAGTTGGGACCCCCCACACTAGGGAGACCCTGCAGCTCAGCCAGCCCTCTTCACTTCAACTCTGTGGGCCTCAGTTTCCCCCTCTGTAAAGTGGGACATGGACACCGCCTGCCTTGGGCCCAGCCCAGTGTGCAGCATCAGAGAGCAACCCTGCACACAGTGTCTCTTCCCCACCCCACACACCCACCCTAAACCACCGCCCGGCCCTGTGCACCAGAGAGGGACAGCGGCCTGCCTGGGGCGCACAGCACTGTCGCAAAGCTGCTCCCACCCTGACATCACAGAACGAGGGGCTGAGCTCCCACTAACGCACGCTGAGCCTCGCTGGGGAGTCGGGGGGCGCCTGTTCTTCTGGGAGATGCGCAGCCTGATTCGGTTCGGCCGACCCACAGCGAGGCCTGCTGGGGGCCTGAGGGCGGCCCCGGAGGCACAGACTTCAGAAGGGCACCCGACCGGGACGGGGAGCACAGGGGGCACGTTCCCCTCAGGGCACGAGACGGCAGGGCAGTCCAGGGGGAGAAGGAAGCGGCTGAGCGTGGACTGTGGGGGTGGGGGTGGTCAGACGGGAGCAGATGGAGCCAGGGGGCTGCTGACTCCGGGGCAGTAGAGGCAAAGGGCAAAGGGCAAAGGGCAAAGGGCAAAGGCTGCACCGAGGAGCAGGGCCGCTGCTGGCCTGGGACTCCACGGGGCTCAGTGACACACAGAAGCCACCTCAGTGCCCAAACTGGGAACTATTAAAGACTGGTCAATGCCCAAATCAAGTTTTTGAAGACTGTGTAAAGATGCAAAGATTGTTCTCAACATAACAAATAGTGAGGAAAGCAAAATGTAACGCCGCCTCCAGGATGATGCTAACTTTAGCAAAAAGTAGATTAACATGAACGTGCATTTTTAAAATTGTAACCAACGCGTGATTTGAGCAGCGGTCGTAACCAGATAGCGGGTGTTCCCTGGGAATGGCCGAGTGCCGGCCCGCAGAGCTCCAGCCCGGACGGCAACCCTGCCGCACACGCGAGCTGCGCCGTCTATCCAGACAGACGCGAGCTGCGGGCCGAGGCGGCATCTGCCCACGGCCTCTCCGCCAGCGGGGAGCTCGGGGTTCTAAAACTCGCCCTCGGCAGCAGGATTTATGATGGCATGTTCATTATATTACTTGTTTTCCGAAATGTCTAAAAAGAGCATTATATCATTTTGATTTTTTTTTTCCCTGATACAAAGTCTTGCTCTGTCGCCCTGGCTAGACTGCAATAGTGAGATCACAGCTCACTGCGGCCTCCAACTCCTGGGCTCAGCAATCCTCCTGCCTCCGCCTCCCGAGTAGCTGGGACTACAGGTTTGTGCCACCACACCTGGCTATGTTTTTATTTTTTGTAGAGATGGGGGTCTCACTGTTGCCTGGTCTGGAACTCCTGGGCTTAAGTGACCCTCCAGCCCCGGCCTCCCAAAGTGCTGGGATTCCAGGTGTGAGCCACCACACCCAGCCTCCAAGGAGCATTATTTTAAAAGGAACAAGCAGTAGCCAGGCGTGGTGGCTCACACCTGTAATCCTAGCACTATGGGAGGCCGAGGTAGATGGATCCTTTGAGCTCAGGAGTTCGAGACCAGCCTGAGCAAGAGCGAGACCCTGTCTCTACTAAAAAAATAGAAAGAAATTAGCTAGACAACTAAAAATATGTAGAAAAAATTAGCTGCACATGGTGGCACATGCCCAGCTACTCGGGAGGCTAAGGCAGGAGGATCGTAGGAGTTTGAGGTTGCTGTGAGCTAGGATGAGGCCACAGCACTCTAGCCAGGGCAACAGAGTGAGACTCTGTCTCAAAAAAAAAAAGGGGGGGGGGGGGAACAAGCAGAGATTGAGGCATTCAGCAGGTTCTGGCACTGCCATTTACTCTGATCCCCTTCCTGGGCCTCAGTTTTCACACCTGTTGAATGGGGACAGTTACCCCACCCACCAGGGTTTCAGCACTGATGAACGGGAGGTGATGAACATTGCTGGGAGCTGGTCATGTGACACGGGCGCAGTCAGTGGATGTTCCTGTGTTCTCCCCCCTCCCTCCCACCCTGCCCTCCGGCTCCCATGATGCACCTAACTGCTCGCCAGGTGGGGGCGGGGTCAGAGGCCCCAGCCCTGTGCTGCTGCCAAGTGTACACGGAGCTCTGGGCCCGGAGCCCTGAGAAGAGCCAGGCAGCTCAGCTTGCCACTGTGTCACCTCAAGCAAGCTGGGGACACCTTAGCCTGCTGCTCCTCTGTGCACGGGGGACTAAGCCCTGGTCTGCCCGTTCAACAGATGCAAAGTGCCGCGATCCGGAGAACCGTGATGAGCCACGCTCGGTGCTGGGCCTCCCCTGGAACTGCGCCAGGCCAGAGTGACCACACGTGCCTTTCCCAGCATGTGCCCTGCCGAGGCCCACACTGATAGCCACTCTCAATCTCACAAGGGTCCCTTTTTAGGTGGTCAAGGTTAATGCCACCAGCATGGAGGTGTAGGTGCGTCGGCCCATAAAGCCCTCACTCGCTGGAGTTTTCCCGGGAAGTGTTGCCGTCCCTCCCGTCCTCCTCGAGCCTCCCCAGGACCCCCTCAAAGTGGGCAGGGCAGCCCGTGCCCACCTGGCTGAGGAGGGAGCTGGGGCCCAGCAGGGAGCTGGGGCTGGGATCACCCAGCAACCTGGGCAGAGCCGCGGTCTAGAACTCTTACTCGCCTTCTGAGGGGGATAGAACTAAAGGGGAGACAGTGGCTTTGCCCCTGTGCTCATTGACCCTGACGCCACCCGTCCTGCCATGGGTGATCCCTGGCACACCCAGCCTGGCCCTGAGTGATTCAGCTTGGTGGGCACCACCCCAGCTACCTGTCCGCGCTGGTGATTCAGCGAGTCGCGGCAGTCCACCTGAAAGACCCCTAGGACTTCCCTGCAGGCCTCTGGTCCGACGTGTGCGGCGTCCCGAACTCCCCTGTCTTCTGAGCGCTGGCGGGCAGACACTCTGCTCCCCTTGGCCCAGTCGTAAACACAGCCAGGCGTCAGAAGCGAGCAGCTGGCAGTGGGGGTGGGAGCAC